GCAATCTCGCAATTGATTTGACCAATCCCAGCCCAATTCACTCGAACATTTATGGGATTAACCCAGGAGAAAAGTGAACCAGAACAGGCAATACAAATCTCTGAGACCAGCTGATAGCCCCCCTCCTTTGAAGGAGGAATGGAGCCGGATTCCATACTCACACAGTTGACACCGGGAACATCACCAGACAAGTAAATACTTCAGTATGTCATCGAAAATGCAAGACAGTCGTGGAGCTTTTGCAAACAGTTATCCGCTTTGCGCGAGGGCATAGCGAAAATTGTGCGCTTTGTGTAGTGGAATCCAATATACCGTGATGTGTTCATCACGTCGTGCAGTTGGTATCGTAAACTAAACATAGGTTAGCCATTTTTAATTAACCCTAAATCAATACACGTTAAACTGATTAAGGTATTCCCGGGAGGAATGTGTCAGAGGAGAATAAGATTTAAACCACTGCGCGTTAGTACCGTAGGTGGACTGTCCAAGTTTCGTACGGGTCAACGGTGATGAAAAAAAAATACTGAGTCTAGCACCGATGATTCAGAACATCAAATAATACATAGAATCATTTAGGAATGATTAGCACGGAAGCCGTTTCCTATTTTATTCAAACGATTCTCCTTTCTCACAACTTGTCCTCATCCGGAGCTAACTGGAGAGAGAGAGAAAACAGAACAGAAGCTCTGATAATTGAGCCACTGAGGTGCAGTGATTTTTGCACAAAAAAAACAAAAAAAAACAAAGCAAAATGGCATTAGAAATATAAATGAGCGAGCGCACAGTAAATATGTGCATCTGTGAATCGGCATGAGAAGACCGACAAGCGATACATAAACGTAAGTTCGAATCCCGAGGTATAGTCAGTGCACAAAATCATGAATAAAACACCATGGGGAAAGAGAAAATGTATGGCAAAACCACAGTCGCAAACTAGTCTGTCGAGATATGGCAGGCTTTGGAACTCAGTTTTACCGATTCCGTGATTCATGCGAAGCCATCACACACACACACACATTCAGTTCAAACCTCGTCTTTCCCCGGGGTTCCATATTCTTCGAACCTTTACCTCATGATGGAAAGATTGATTGATTCTACAATCACGAATCGATCGATTAGCGGCAGTTTTGGGCGAGAATTAATACACTATACTCCAGAATGTCTCACTCAATCCAGACTGGTTCTGGTGACTGGAAAAACAGTGTGATAGCGAAGTGTTGCATTGTGAAACCACTGCGGAGTTTACGCGGAATGAAACCGAACGAATCCTACCACACCGATCAGCTATTGTATACCACTATTTATTCACGAAAATTTTCTCACGCTCACTAAACCCTTCCCCTGCCCGCCCGCCGGCCGCAGACACACACTGTGATTGTGGTTAGGCTCTCCGATAGAATCGGTTGGTCTGTGACAGCGTGTATTCTTGTTTGTGGCATCGAACAACCTGAAACACACACACACATCGACACTCATTCCAGGTTATTCATTAACTGGCCGAGTGTAGTTCGGTATTCTAAACATAACACGGAAGTAAATGCCAACAAAGGTGGTTAAAGTCAGACCTGATATGGAAGTATGAAAACAGTGGCCAGGAGAATTGCTCACATAGGCCACGCTAGGACTCCTGGATGGGGACCCCAAGATCATCGTAACCGGTGGGGGTTGGAGACACTAACTGATATGGCTGGGTGTAGCAAGCAGTGGAACACGTGTATCTACCTATTCCTTAGCTTCGCAATCTTAGTCCAGATGAATTCTCTGTCTGCTCTTTGGAATCTGCTCGCAGCATTCCACTCTTTCTTCTGTTTGTTCAGCCGGATGGGAAGTCATGAGATAACCAAACCAAAACCGGCTCAAGAAAGTACATAGGTAATGGTTATAAAAACTGAAAGTGAATATTTTCTATGTGATTACACATTAGCAATTAATCGTAGTCATGATAGTCGAACGCGCAATGGACTGTCAGCTGTGTTTGGCGAACCTATATGTTGCTCATAAATCGTTCAGTTTTTTTGGGGTGTGGCATGAGTGTTAGGTTCAAACCCCCAGTTTTTGTCGCAAGTAGTTCTATTGTCTCCAGCACAGAAAAGCCACATCACTTAAAAATAATTTGAGTTTTCCGTCACCAGCATTCTGAGCGATGAGATATGTTTAATTCCTCGGTGTCACATGTGAAAAGATTACTTGTACCCAATGCAGCAAGCGATTAGTAAGACAAAGATGTCCAATAAAGGAGGAACAGAGAACTGTAGACGCTGTCGAAAATCCGATGTCCATTGATGGGATAACCTCGGATCACATTGTTTTGAATGGCCGGATCGGGACAATGATTGTGCGAGTATTCCCCTGTAGCTTTTTATTATTTTTATTATGTGATGACTAGCAGACGGGGCGAACCCCACAGTCACAAGGACCTGCTCTTCAGTGGTGCAAACCGGTGACCTAAGCCCCGGGACTTGGAGTGGCGAACCACATAAGGCCCCGATAGGTTAGGCATGCTACTGAACCGGACGACAGCAGAGCTGCCTACCACCAAAGTCGGGTGGCGGGGTTCGAACCTCGTACCACAGGGTCCAAAACAGGCCGGTGAGAGCGACTAAAACAATGCGCCACCAACACCCTACAGTGACACTCTATGTCGGGGTGTGGCTCTACCGTAGAGAGAAAGATGGCATGTGCAAATAAAAAGAGGACGTGTGCGTCAGGTGAAAAAGGCGAGTGATCAGACAGACAGACAGGCAGACAATGCTCAAAGATCCGCCGTGTGTCTGATAAATTGAAGCACATGAAATAAGACTGACAGAAAGAACGTTGTCTAGTTAGTTACATTCCAGGAAAAATTAAACCCTGTTTTCTAGAGGTGTGAATTTATTTCTAGCTGGAATCAATCAAACCCAACCGGCTAGGTTACTCACCTAATAGTATTTACTCTGTACATGTATAATTAGCGAATTACGCGCCTGTGTCTCAATGATGACAGGCAGGATGCATAATATGCAGAAGAAGGAACACTGTGGCGAGACGGAAAATTGAATCCCAACACGACAAAATGTAGAGTGACAAGTACTCACGAAATGCTCCATTTTACATTTCAGAATAAATCTGATCCAGACAGGAGAACTTTGACTTTGATTTGTGGCAGGTGTTCGGTGGTGTTATTTCCATTATGATGCTCTCGATCACACACAAACACATACAAAAAGTAGAAAATAAAATACACCCCACAAATTGGCATCCCCTGAAACATTACATCTCCACTAACGAATGATGCGAATCAAACTTTCAAAGCCTAAATGAAATAAGTTATTTTCCCAAGTCAATGAAAGAAATTTGAAACCGGTGCCAGACCTTGCTATACGTTTTTAAGCGTATCAAGTTTTGGACGAGTCCCAAACGGGACGAAACAATTGTCCAGTGCTCATTCAGGTTATCACAAACATTTCCATCGCATCTGGTTGTTATACGTGAGAGCAACAATCGGAAACGAACCTGGCAAACCACTAGACCATGAACTATGGACGCACGAAAAAAATACTTCGATACAGTTCAAATGGATCCCAGGACATAAAGTTTCGTGTTTTCACAATGAAATCAAACTAATACAAGATGACAAACGAGACTGCCACACAGGAAGCGATCAAAACAAGCGTACTCACTTTGTCACACGACAGCTGATTCATCCTGAACTCGAGCACAACAATTTGTTGTGAACAGTACAGATGGACCATAGATTGAAAATTATTTGTCAAACACGCAATCCGAGCTATCCAGATCACAACATACAAAGACGAGCCCGGCGCTAGCGGTGTGAGTGCGTCCGTTGATGTGAACCACCAATCAGATACGAGTCGGAAGTTGGATCCTGCAATCTGATTGGTTCACACCAGTAATCGGGTTTAGAGAGTAGCACATTGGATTATGTTTGCGTGTGTGGTTGCCGGATGAAATGCAATATTGTATCACGCACATGTATTTAAATGCCCGTCAGCAGCGGAAATCAAATGTAGTTTGTGATAACATCCGGCCACGAACAGGGTCCACGTACCAATGACTTGTTCTCGGACATTGTTTACCACGACCATTCAACCGGATCTGAGCATTCCAGTAAAGACAATGCGACAAACTGTGCCAGTCTGTTGCTCACGCGTCAATCGCACACATCATTCCTGTTCCCTTATACACCTGATCCTGGTCTCTGTATGCATGCATACTGTATGCCCACTGACCCTGGCGGATGCCAAAGCAATACTCACCCCCGGGACTCACTCGGGCATGGCACAACCAAATCGAGCCACAACCAATCATCGAGTTGCGGAGACTGGATTTCCTCTGATGATTTGGAATACCTTATCCGATCGGGATTCGGTGCACACAGCACGCGGTTTGCACAGACCTACAGACTTACCGGACACAATACGACCGAAAACGTACAATCGTCTATGGTTTCTGCTCGCTCGGGAACGATACCATTCGGTACGGAAATGCTGTGAACGTGAAGTGATGAAACCGGTCGGTGGGGGACACTTGACCGGGACGTGTTGTACCGAATTGCGGTACATGGACGCTATCATACATCGAGTACAACAATGGGCAAAATGATATCAGTGCTAATGCAAATCCTGTACATGCACCCATTTCACCCACCAAACAACCCCGATACACAAGAGCAAACACACTCTCCCGTTTTCAGGAAAAGCATATCATTCCATTGTTTCATAAACCCCGACCCACCCTCTACCACCAACATCACACTCTTTGTGTTGACTTGAACAAAAACCCCACACCACTTGGTCCTCACAAGGTTGCTATCTTACGCGAACAAGCAAAAAGAAACAGACTATGGATGTGCTGAAATAAACACACACACACACACACAGATACAGAGAAAAGAAGCACGCTTACACACACTCACACAATCATTTCCTTTCGAAACAAAGAGTCACAAGAGCGCGTGAGAGAATGATGCTTTTCATACGATACATATGTACAAATTTCGTTCACCTCATTTGTAAATGAATGCATTTATTATTACCCACACACTTCCCGATCTGTTTTATTTCCAACTCATCAAACGTGTGCGTGGGTGTACACGATACGAGGATGTGAGTACCACACAGACAAATCTAGTCTTTCCGGCAGACAAGCAACGGACTTGTGAACTGCACAGATTTAAGTTATTTGACTGTGTAGAAATCAGTCATGACCAAGGGGAGTAAAGAAAGTTTGAGGTAAGCCGTTACCGCCAGAGCGCTCATGTCTAGTGTACACTTGGAGAGTAGCCTGAGGGAGTTTTAGGACAGAAAAGCCCTGGGTAGTAAAAACCTGTCAGTCGGCGTGTTTACTACACACACACATACACACACACACACACACAAACGGAGCGTTCCAATTCGTTAACTTTATCGATATCTCTAGCATGGGGATAAAACTTTCTAATCGGGTAAAATGTAATTTGATAACGAGGCTGTAGTATCTTAATCATTTTAGTACATAGTGTTGTATGATATAAATAATTTGACCATGAAGCTTGTCATAATAAGCGTTAGCTTTCTCACCACCACCAGCATCAACACCACCACCAATAAGTAAGAATATGGAGAAGATGTGGTCCTGATAATCGGAATAAGTGTTAGATCACCAAACTCCTCTGAGCTTTCGCGTGCGAATGAAGGAAATAGGAATAAGGACTAATGAACTGGCTACGAGGATATCGATTTTTTCGCTATAGAAGTCCCTGTGATCCTGGCCACAGACGAGATGAGTCTCATATCTCTCATAACCCCTATTTCACCAGTGTGACTTCTAAACTCTCATTGAGCAACTAGTGGATTAGTCGATTGAAGCTTCTGTTCAGATAGTCGACAGAGTTTTACAGTGGTACCTAAATAGACACGTTCTGAAACACCAATAACATTGTAGGGATGATACTGTATAGTGATAATAATAACAATAATAATAATAATAATACGGCCAGTTAGCTATGTGGTTGCAAAAAACAATCTTTTCTTATCATCGAAGCAAATAATGCAGCAACCGAATGCACTCGTCAAATCGCATTAATCCTCACCGGGAATTAATTACAAACAAACAAATCTCACAAAGCGCACAAGATGATGATCTACCGGTAGTATACTAGCCCGACAGTCTGTCTCGGTTCTCTAGAGCCTGATTCAAATGCCGAATTCATTGAGTTTGACGGTTTATGTGGTTTGTTCTATTGGATACTCTACTTAGAGGGGCCAAAGTGAAGCGGAATATGATGAAATTCATTGCTGGTTTGAGCACAGATCGAGAATAGATTTTCAATCGTCACGAATGATTGGTGATGTGGGGCAGTTTATAGGCAATAAATAGGAATGAACTCATACTGTATCAAAATACCCACGGGTCAAGGAAGGTAACGGAGTAATATGTACAAGAAAAAAAACAATGAGTCCACAGTGTGTTGGCCAATCCGCGCTCTTGTTGTTTCCGGTCACAGGACTACCGCCAAATCGGCCATCATGAAATGGTCATGCGTAACTCGCTGTCTCTCGCGCGAGGCTTCTGATCATCACAAGACAATCATGCACCTGTCAACTGAAGGACACGGTTTGCACGCCAATGGTGACGCAAAGCTATATACTGCCAACTGTCATTGAGAACGCTGAATCCACTCGTCTCGACGGATGCGAGGGTCGGATTGACTGACGCAACTCGAACCTGAAAGACTGACACCCAGACAACCACCCACACACACAAAACTCTCTCTCTATCCAACTCGATCCACGCTGTGCATAGGAGCAAAACCAAACGTGTTTTTCGGAATGGTTCACGGGCAACACTGAGGGGCATGAAAGTGAAGCCGAATCAGTGTCTTATTTGTTATCGTTTTCAATCAAGCCAGAATGCGCGAAGCGGTGTAAAACTAGGCTCTGAATTGCCACTTTTATTATTGGCCTTCACTTTCTTCCCCTTTTCATCACTCCTTATTCAAACAAGGACTAATTTCATCTGATTGATTGATTGATGGCACATATTCCAGACTACTTCGCAAACGGTTTGATCACAACAGCGATCGGAAAGTTTTGTTTGCCATTAGAGATGCCGTGTGTGGCCACGCTGCGAATAACAAGTTGAACAACACAGTATTTCAGGTTCTCGTTGAAGAGAGCGTAAAACTGTATTTTTCGCGTGAACGAGGACGTAAGGACGGCGGGGGGGGGGACGGTCAGTTATCTACATACAACATCATGTGGCTGAGGGAGGCACGCTAAACCATTGTTTTTATTTCGTTTGTTCTCAATTGTATTTTATTACTAAACGCCTCATTGTAAGTAAACTGGATTGAGCAACGCGGCACAGGGTTCCAATGTGACAAGAGAAAGGAAATGAACAATGAACAAAATGGTGGTTTAAGAAACGATGAGCAGGTCACCTGAGAGAGAGAGTGCGCGTACAGAACAGAACAAGAACGTAGTCGAGTTGATCAGCGTTTTAGAAAACAATAAGCAAAGTATCTTTATATCTCTCTCTCTCTCTGTCTCTCGCTCTAGATGACCTCATCCAATTGTTTCTAATACGCGGAGGAGGGTAAAAGATCACACACTTGAATCAGTCAAGCAGTCGATTGACTGACGTGAGAAACGTATGACAGGGAGAACAATGGGTTACATGTTTACCGAGAAAAACTGGAATAGATGGAACTGGATCAGGTGACAATATCACATAAGTGGTTCTGCCACCGTCAGTCAGATCCATCGCCTGCAGATCACCAGAGGAAGCAGATATTTCATCAGATTATGCCATGCCATGCCATGCCAAGTCATCAATCAATTTATATCATATAGATTCGTTCAATTAAAAATTTGTTGAGCTTGAAAAACGCAATATTTTAATACACGCATGTGCACATGCACGCACGTGCACAAAAGTTTAATCATCCGGTTCAGTTTACACGGCACGTGATTTTTGCACTACTGTGTATTTCCCTTCGGCTTTCATCCCCCTCCCGTTCCCCGTGCCCTCTTCAAAATGGATTAATCATGTTGAACAACTGACGTAGTTCTGAGACCTTAGTCAGAATGACAGTGACAGTTGGATGTTCACGTTCATCACATTACACAACACATTTACTCACTCCGGCATGTGCACACGAGATTCAGGTGAGAAACTATGCGCATACAAGTGAGAAAATCGAAATAGAGTATGTTTTTTTGTTTTACAAACAAAAAGAAAACAATCAGCATGATCTTTGTCAAAACAAAACGAAACAAAACAACAAAAAAAAACAGTGCGAACACAGAATTTATTTGCACGTCCGCCGCACCTCACCGTCCTCCACACTCCATCGACCCCACCGCTATCCCCTCCGGACAATGAGTACATTTAACAAAGGTGAACATAAATCGAACAATGATTGACCGAGGACGCGAAATCATTTTTGCTCGGTTCGGTAGGGGAAACAGCTTTTTGGGGCCGTTTTCACACAGTTCAGAATTGGCTCGATAGTCACGAGGATCGGGTAATGGGTACAAAAAATCACTAAGGTTTTGGACTTGGAGAATCGAAGAGAGTGAGAACCCTCCCCCCCCTCTTAAAACACACAAACACACCCCTGCTTACAAACATTATGATAGGGTGGTATATGTGCTGGACGCAAGCGAAGCGACCAATTAACGATTAATGTGTACAATGATAAAACAAAATGGGTAGGCGAACATGCATCCAGATAGAATATTGCAACCCGACCTGCAGAGCATACACGTTGAAAACAAGCTAATAGTTTACGCCCTGGTTTCGATAATCGAATTATGGGATCTCGAGCAAATGTGCTCGTGTCCCAGGGGAACTTTGATCCAGCCTTAACGTCATTTAATCGGCTATTGTCCAGTTTTCAGGTGCTCTGTAATCCGGTGGGACGATCATTGCGTTCATTTGTGAGTAGGTGAAGAGAGATACCATAAACCCTTTGGGCGAGTTGCAGTTACACACCATAGAGAGATACGATGAATGCACGACTACCGTGTGGATAAAAACCATTCCCTAAAGCATACAGTCATCCTGAAAAGAACCATCCTAATCATGTTCTCCGAACAGATGTTTCATCTAACTCTGAGGTAAAACAAAGCAAAGTGAATACCAGTAGCTTTTAGCAACATCAGTTTCTAGTTCAGCATGTGCACCCTTTTGGTGGGCACACACGGATGTGATTGTTGTTCATTGGTTGAGGGGCTGATTCGGAGAATTTGAAACCGTTAGACTGATCGTTCGAGGGGAACTGATTCAGTTCAGCTCAGTTTGGTTGCTGTCTTTTGGCCGCCTATTGGGATACGCCAGCCGAATGAAGACTGGAATGTTCAGAGCAAATTCAAGTGGAAGATAGGCGAGAATTCATATAGACTAAGGTTGCAAGAATGACGATTAGATGCATGAGCGCCTTTGTTTGCAACACCCAGCTATATCGCACAGTGTCTCTAACCACTGGTGTCCATGATCTCGGAGTCCTCAGCCAGGGAGCCTAGCGGGACCTGTGTGACCCATTACCCTGGTTAGGTTTTTCATACACTCATGTCAGTTTGACCGCCCTTGACCTTTTTCATCCGCTGCCTGCCTCGGCA